GAGATAAATAGGATGCTGACCCAGGGTTCACAGAAGGTGAAGGATGAACCTCATTAGAGTTGGAACAATAGTGCTTGACTACTGCCCCACACCAACCAGGCAAGCCATCACACCTGTGATAAGGTGCATGCCCTACAACAAATCCTGACTCTGCACAACCCTTCAAGCATAAACATGACCATTGTTTTATTCCTGCCACAATAGCTAAGAGTCAAGAAATCTTAACTGCCATAATCCCTTGCCTTAATAGCTTCATTTTCTCACCTTTGAGTCACCAGAAGGATCAGAAGCATGCCAGGATTTTTGTTTGTTTTTCAATGAGACTTGGAAGAATCCATGAAACTTGGGTCATGAGATATCCATAGAAAATTGCCTCCTAATTTTCTGCTACCCTTACATAAAGGCTGAAAGACTCATTTTTGCAAGTCCAGCGTCTATCTTGCCTACCACAAACCTATCTCTCTTCTTCCTGGTTCAATCCCGCCTCAGTCAACTTGTTCCAGTGCTCTGTGCCACTGACTCATCTGCATTCCAGGCCCATTCCCTCAGGGTAAGGATGCTTCCATCCAAGCCACAGCCAGTGACGTTACCATTGCCACAGCTGTTCTGTTCTTAGGACCCAGCCCTGGTTTCAAAAGGCTCTGGCAGGAATAAACTGCAGAATCTTGTTTTACACATAGCACAGGCTTTATGGAATCCTGCCCATCCACTGATGACCATATGCATTAGTTCTGACATTGCTGCTCAGTACAAGAGCTTACAGGGAAAGCAGAAAACAGAAGCACCTTCCCTCAGGGTTACCCTTACCCGTAATGGCTTATACCACCTGAGAACTCTCATTTTTACAGCTGCCTGTATTATGCTCACATGCACAGGTAATCTGCCCATAGTGGATTCACGAAGTACAGGTTAGATGGCATTTCCAGCCTTATCCTTACACTGTGCACAACCCTGGTCTAGGGCAACAACTGAAATCCACCTTTACTCTTAAGGAAAATTTCACAAATTAAGGGCCCTGAATGTCTTCTGCTGCTGATCAGCCTCACTTGGGACAATCTTTATAAATCAGAGCCATTTCAATCACCTTTAACCCCAGAGAGAAGGACATTTTACTCTTTCTTTCCTAGAATCGTATTGGTCCCTTATACAAACTTGATCACCCTTACCAGTTTACCACACTAAGAGCTATGGAATGGGGAGGAGTTAAGCCTTAAAAATTGCCCTGTTATATTCAGTCTTAGCTAAAGTTCTCCCTAAAGTTATATGAGGAAACAGGATTGAGGGATAGGTAGAGAGAAACAGGAAAGGAGAAAAACTAAGACAAGGATGCATGATCGAGCTGACCACTACAATGTGACAGATGGTCATCACATGAGCTTTTCTAAGAAGTCTTATAAAATACATCTTAGACCTATCTGCCTGGGAGATAGAAAAAAGATTAATTTATCTATTGGCCTCCTAATTAATTCACACTTCTGGATTGCATGTATTTTGAGTTTTGAGTGGAAAAGCTCATGTGGAACTGGTTACTGCAGCAGTGGTTGGGAAAGTTACAGGGCTGAGCTGAAAGTGGGGCACAAGAGGAGTCAGAGGCATCTCATCCATTGCAATGCTTAGCTTCACTTATGCCTTCCAGTAAGGTCATGTCCACTGACCTGATTATAGAAGACTACTGTCTTCCTGAAATTTAAGAAAATGTGTTTATTTTATAGAAAATAGGGTGTGGACACCAAATTTTTGGAGAAAACATCAAGCTTTCCTTTAATGATCTTCCCATTGATTTAGACATTCATAAACTCACTGGATTAGATATAAATAAAACATGAAAATATCTAATTCCTTACATAATCGAATAATACATATTTTCCCAAGGAAAAGCTTTTCAATTACAGAGGCTTCCCAGAAGCCCATATTTGCAGTGATGCTACCATATGCATGGTTGTGTCCTAGCAGTATAGCTAAAAAATAGTTGATATTTGCTAAATTAAGTCAAATTGAACTGGCATGAACTGAAGGAGTGGGAGGAAGAGGATATAATCATTGTTCTAGGGACGTTATATGAAATATGAAGTGGCTAATAATAGTCCCATTTTACAGATGAGGAAATTAAGGTTTAGAGACAATAGCTGGGTTGTTAAACATCACATAAATAGTAGTTAATATGGAAGTTCATGAATTCTAAAAGCCAACCCTCTTTCCACAATATCAAATGCTACCTTGAATTGATACAAATGTAAATTGAGTCAAAGTTAACTGAAATGAATAGTATTGAACTGGAAAATACATCACAATGCAGAGATGTGGGGCTCAAGACTCTGTAGTGCTCACATTAATTATGGTATATCATTACATCCAACACCAATCACCATATGCCTATTTCCTAAGGGTGATTCTTTAAAATATTGAACTCTTAATATGTCTTTAATCTACTTTTATTAATAAAAGTTTTAGTTAATCAAAAAAGTTTTGAACCAAACTCTTGGGTGATTTATATTGCTCTAATACCTACCTCTTTCTTTGTGAGAATGGCCCCTTTGGTCTCAGAGTGCGGGAAACAGTCCTGATTAGCATTGGTTCATAATACTTCTGGTCTCATTTGACCTGTCCGCCTCGTGCAAAGTTGTCTGGAATAATAATCACAGTAGGAATGTTCAATAGTGCATCAGCTACCAAGATAAGTTTTTCAGGAAGCAAGTTCTGTACCTCGATTTTTAAAGTCATCTTACACTTAGAGCCAACACACTTAAGAAAAAGCAACAACTGGCAATCTTATCATTGTGAAATGCTACTTACAGGTGGCTTTAAAAATAGATCAAGTTTAACTGCCTCATTTTTAAGAAAAGGAAACAATGCTAAGATATCAAACTGATCTTGCAGTTTACATAGAGTATTCACACGTCTACTATCTCATCTATTATGTAATTTGAGGCATCAGCCCTAAGAGGTTAAGCAAGTCATGGTTAATTAGTGACAGAATGAATATGAAGAGTAAGAAACCTTGCGGTTTATTAAATGTGTGCTTTTTGTTGATTTATTTGCTGAACAAATACATATTGAGCAATGCGCAATAGACATTGTACTTAGAATTTTGTGTTGGAGTGGCAAAAACAGAGTGTGAAATATTCAATAAATTCTGAATTGCCCTCAACCTGCAATGCAGTCTAATAACAACAGCAACAAAAAAGTTGCCAATACAAAATAGAAAATGCCTGTGAGTAGTTCTAATCATTTTAGAGGAAAATTCATGTAGGAGTGATTACATTTAGCTCCATGAAGACAAAGGTCCTCACTGATTTCTAAGTGGGAAGATATTTGCGTAGATTTTTAGATGAGCAGGACTATGTGAATATGTAGTCCTGGAGCATACAAAGCAGAGAGAATGGTTCTAGCCAGGGACAGGCAGCAGAGAACATAACATGTGGAAAACCATGAGGACTCTGCTTCCTTATTTCTTGGTCACAGTATCTTTCTAGATTTTACTGTCTGTAAAAACAGGATATATCTTAGAATCAATTAAAAAAAAAAAACTTACCATCTGTAAGGATGTGGAGTAAGATGTGTAGTAAACAAATAATAGACTTTTCAACTGATAGTGCTTCATAGCCAAGGAGTATTGATAATTCATTTTGGCAAAATCATTGAAGGGTGAATGGAGAAAAGTAGCAGAAACTTCTATTTCAAATTTATCTTGTGGAGAAATCATGAAAGGCCTTGAAAATCTGATTAAAGTTATGAAGACTTTACTGTATGAGCATCAGAAGCTTTGAAAAGAGGAAGAATACTGAGAGGTGATTAAAATAGTTAAGCACAGAAATAATCTGAGTCTGGAGAGGTCAAGGCTGCAGTGAGCCAGGATCCTGCCACTGCTTTCCAGCATGGGAGACAGATCAAGATCCGGTCTATAAAATATAACTTTAAAAATGAATGCTTAAAACAGTAAAATTGCTTTGGACCTAAAATTTCACTGACTAGCATTTTTTCAAATTTTTTCATCAAACTGGTAGGTTTGTTTTTAAATATCTTGCTGTTCTTTGGCTTATAGAAGCATGACCCCAACTCTGCCTTTATCCTCACATGGCATAGTCCTTATATGCATATTTTTCTCCAAATTTCTCCCTTTTTATAAGAACACAGTCACATTGGTTTGGGGCTCATCTTAATAACCTCTCAACTAATTACATCAGCAATGGCCTTACTTTAAAATAAGATCACATTCTAAGTTACTGGGAATTAGGATTTTGTCACATAAATTTTGAGGGGATATATTTCAACTCATAACTGTAAGGATAGATGCATTGAGACTTCATTTTTCTGTGACAATAAGTAATAAGGTATACCTGTTATAGTCACTTGAACAGCAGAAAAAGTAGGAAAAAAGGCCATTGCCCAGAGTAAGGTGAGATAAGCTACCCTTCAATCAGACTTCACTAAGAGCAAGCCCCAGAAGACATTTGTCACAATCCAGACACCATTTAGGAAAGGAAATGGTGAGTACCACCTGGAGAAGTTAAATTGAGTGTACATTTCCTAAATGAGGAGACTTTAAACTGGAAAATATTGAGTGAACTGTAACTGGAAAGTTTACATTACTTTCCAATCATCAGTAGAAATAGGGATCATAAAGGAATTTAGTTACATAGCAATATTAGGAAAACTTTTACAAATTTGTGTAAATATGAATTGTCTACTCTGTTATATAGGTAAATCTTTTTCCTTTTTAGATACAGAATCTCCCAAATTTATTTGTCAGTGAAAAAGTTTACCTTAATACATGATATCATCTCTTAGTATTACATCAACATCGTCTGGAAAATAGGGTCCTCAGATATTATTAGGTTACTTCTACATAATAATCTTTCAAGAAGTTGTTTGTTATTTGTTTAAAAAAACACATTGCAATTCTTGCATGCTTGGGGCATTATGCTAGGTGCATAGACTAGAAAGATAACTAAATCATGAAATCTGATCTCAAGGAAGTCACAGATTTTCAAAGAAAACATGTACTTGCATTGGCAGCACATATACTAATATTGGAACAGTACAGAGATGACTAGCATGAATACCATACAAGGATTGCATAAAATTTTATAAAGAAGTTTACATTTTCTCATCATTACTTTATGCTTTCCCTCTAAGACAGTGATCAAAGCAAAGATATTCTCTCACTATTTCTACTCTACATTACATGAGAAGTTTAAGAAACTGCAATAATGCAAGAGAAGGGAATTAGAAAGTATGATGAAACCCCATCTCTACTAAAAATACAAAAATTAGCTAGGCATGGTGGTATGTACCTGTGGTACCAGCTACTCAGGAGGCTGAGGCAGGAGAATTACTTGAACCTGGGAGGGGAGGTTGCAGTGAGTGCAGTGAGCCAAGATAATCACACTACTGAACTCCAGTCTAGGTGACAGGGTGAGACATGATCTCAAAAAAAAAAAAAAAAAAAAAAAAAAAGAATATAAACGGTCAGTATTTGCAGATGACATGATTGTCTAGTAAATCTTAAAGAATATACAAATATCCACTAGACTGCATAGCAAATTTAGCAAGATCTCAATATACAACATTAAAATAAAAATTTTAAAGTTCCATTTTCAATAGTTCCAAACACTTAAAAATTTAAGACAAATTAATCCAAACAAAATCTCTACACAGAATCCACTAAGTATTAACGAGAGCAACTTTTGAAGCCCCAGGTAAATGGGATGATAGACCATGTTCACAGATTGGAAGACTCAATATGATCAAGATGTCAACTCTTCCCAAGTTGATATACAAATTCAAGATAAGCCCAATCATAATTACAATATGCTTTTTATTTTAAAAATGGATAAGCAGATTCTAAAATTTCTCTTAAAGTACAAGTGACCTAGAATAGTCAAAGCAATCTTAAAAGAAAATAATACACATAGGAAGAGAACTAACAGTACCTGACTTACTTCATGACTTACTATGAAGCTACAATATAAAGACAGTATAATATTTATAAAATGGTAGTAAAATAAAACATCGAGTCCAGAAATACAGCCACAGTTGTACAATTAACTTTTGATAATGGCACTGAGGATTTCTATGTGGATACCCACATAGAATAAAATGACTTCACCTGTCCTTCATGTAATATGCAAAAAATTAATTTGAGATGAATCATAGACCCATTTTAAAAGCTAAACTTAAAACCTTTTAGAAGAAAATCCAAGATATCTTTATAACCTCAGGTTATATCTGGCAAAAGACCAAGAAACTTGCATTCTATAATTGAGTAATAAAAAGAAAATTCAATGAAAACAAACTTGAACAGAGAATTAACAAAGAAATAAGTATATATGGCCAATAAGTAGATGAAAAAGGATCCAGCATCATTAGTTAGCTGGAAAATGCCATTAAATCCTAAAGAGATACTTCTCCACATTTAGCAGAATAGTTAAACTATAAAAAGACCAACACTAAATATTGTCAGTGATATGGAGCCACCATAATTCTTATACTTTGATGATAGAGTGAAAATGATACAATCAATTTGAAACCTGTCAGTTTTTAAAAACTAAACATAAATCCTGCCTATGATATATTGATTCTACTTCTATGAATTTACCTAAGAAAAATAAGCATACATTTTTACACAATTCTTTAGAGAAAATGTTCATAGCAGTTTTATTAATTGTTCAAAATTGGGAATAACACAAATATCTGTCAACTAAACAATAGGTAAATAATTTTGATATAGACATGCAATGGAATAATACAGCATAATAAAAATGAAAAACTATTCATCCATATGATAATATGGATGAATCTTTTAGACAATGAAAGATCAAGCAAATGAAGCCAGATGCAAAATAGTTCACACTACATGATTTCATATATATAAAAAATCAGAAGAGAAAACTCTAATGTATTAAATGAGGGAATTTACCAGGAAGAGGAGAAAGGAAGCCATCTACAATGATGACATTTTCTATATCTTAATACCAGGGTGAGTTTTATGAAGGCAGGCACTTATTACAACTCAATGAATTGTAAAGATTTGTATTTTTTACTATTTGCAAGTTTAGCTCTAAAAAAGACAAATAGTAAATTCCACTTAATAGAATTGATTTTCACTATGGTACGAACAATTCTGAAATCATGCTCTGTACATTCTATGAGTGAGGAAATAAGTAAATATGTTGATGATAAAATGGATGTCAGATTTTTCACTGTTGGAGAAAGGGATTATAAACATGAAATGGAAGATAGCTGGAATAAACATAGGTGACTGGAATTGTAATTATCAGGTAAATTCATTGTTTTTGATATATAAACAGGTAGATACTGAAAAAAATATATGTACTTGTGTGAGTGTGTGTGCATGTGTGTGTGCATTTTCGGTTATTTTTCCCAGTTCTGAACATTGGGATAAGCTAGAAGCAATGAAATGCTAATAGCAATGAGCACAGTTAGTACTCAGATATTGGTTCCTAAATACCATTCTCCACTAAAAGGCATCAGGGCTCCTTAGTGGAAAGGTTAATTTCAGAACTACAACTAAAAATATACACAAGTTACTCAAAAAAGCAATTAAATACTCAAAGAATGTTAGAGACATGTCAAAAACACATAAAAGCAACCTTCAACAGATAACCAATGTGCAAAATCTGGTATATTTTAACATCAACATAAATAATGTTACCACTGAACTATAATTCATTGAATAAAATGAAAATCCATAAGCTTAACTTCACATTCAAAGTTTTTAATAATGAATATATACAAACAGTAAATACTTCAGGTGGTAGGGTATTGGTGGGAAATGACAGGTAGATGAAGGGAGGTGCCAGATTGCATGGGGCCATGAATGCTTTTTCACAGCTCTCTGCTTGCATTCGTATTTTCCCCTCTGCTAGAAATAGCCCTTCTTTTCTTCACCAGCTTGATGTCCTCCTTCCCCCATTTCTCCAAAGCCCAATTTACAGGTTGCCTATTTTGGGAAGGTTTATTGAATCCTTAGAAGCATCTTAGTAAAGTAATTATTAACCATGTGTTGTCTAGCTTTTTTTTTATAATCCCATTCTTTCTCAGCACTGGCAGCATACATTATTTTTATATTTCTTGGTGTTTCCTTCTCTCCTAGGTTTACACTGTCTTCTATGTTTCCTATTCCTATACTCCAACTCCCACTGGTTGGCATTTAGGTTTTAGCTCATTTTTTGATGCTTTGCTATAGAAAATTCTGTAACATTAATTGCATTGTATTAAATTGTATCTCATCAATTGGTTGTGAGCTGATGAAAACGAAAGTAATAGAGGGTCAATTCAGTAAAAAAATTAGTTTATCCTGATGCCAGCTAAGAAAAATGCAGAAGACTGGCTGGGAGCCAATCACAAAAGCCCTGTAAAGTACATCGCTCCACCTCCTTGAAGGGAAACCTTATTTAAATTAAAAAATATGTATATATATCAGCAGATGACTATAGCTCTCCTTCTGTCCTGTGATTCAGATATGTGGTTTGTTTTGCTCCCGTACTACACAGATCTGAGTTGGGTTCCTTAACAACAGATGGGTCTGTCAGCCAGTTAGGCCAAACGAGTCACAGTGATCTGTCACAATCATGGATGTCCAAAAGCCATGGAGGTATATGGATGCCCACTCACTGGGGATCAGAAAGAAACCTAATGCTGGATGCCAAGCCTGCCTTCTCCTCTCCTTGGCTCCTGATAAAATAAACTTATATAAGCCACATAAGACAACTCTACTACCAATTGTCTCTTCTCAAGATTATACACAAAAATAAGTGTCAGAAGCACAACCCCTTCTGAGGAGGGTAGGGAATTCTTCAATGTGAGTTAACTTTAAGGGCAGACCAGGCAAAACAGCTGAAATGATGGATACTAACTACTATCCTGCTCATTAAGTGAAAAGTCATTCTAAAATTTTGATTTGCTAGATATTAATACAAGCACTGTAGCCCCAACTCCTTCAGCCAGATGTGCCTGATCATATTATTATAACGACAATTAAGTGGCAAACTGGGGCTACATGAGCATCCATCTGAGCCAAAACCCCAGGAACATGTACTTACTGAAGGTATGCACAGGTTTACATAGCCTCAATAAACGAAGGGCAGCATCTGAGAAGCCCTGGGAAGACTGCCATTTTCAGTGCTTTTCTTTAGATTTTTAGAGGCTTCTTCTGACCAGCTAATATTTCTATAATCATGGAAATTGCTGTATATTGTAAACATTTAATTATAGCCAATATTGATACAGTCATTTCTGATCTACAAAATAGGATCAGATCTCCAATTTCAGCATGTTCTCTTGATAGCATTATAGAAATGACACCTCTAAAAAAGATATAATAATCCCCATTTTATGAATAAACAGAGACTTTGAGAGATAAAAATATTTTTCATTGTAAAAATAAAAGAACTGTGTCATTCTGGGTTGAAAAATAAAGAGATATTAACATAGAAAGTTGAGTGGACAGTGAATTAGTTGTATGTTGGGTATTTGAGAAAAAGATGAAGATAAGAAATATAATTGTGTATTATCTAGTCGGATGTTCTCAGTAAAAGATGGTATCAAAGGAGGCTGGGATAGGTTAACTCAACACCTTATTACCTATGGGACTTGGACTTGAGGTGTCCAAGGTTGTTGCTTGGCTCTGTCTGGGGAATGGAGACATCCCTCCCCAAATTCACCCAGTTATCTTGCAGATTATGGGGCCTTAGGGGAAGAGGAAGCATTAATAAGACTGTGGATGACTTAGGGACAATTCTATCATATCAATGAAAATAGTTCGTATCAATCTAGGATACCATTCTTCTTCATTCCTCTAATTCCTGTCTCCTCCTCCTCACTCTGCATTCCATATTGATTATTTTAAGGGAAAATGGATCAGCAAAACACCAAAAAACAAAACATAACAAAAAAACGGATTTGATTTTCAAAAGCCTTATTTTAGACTCAAGATAAAAAGATTGAGAATAATGGATCAGTCAGATTCAGGAGGAATGATGAAGAAGAGATAGACATACAAAAGAAAATTGGAGATAATGGATCCCATTAAAGGAGCCCTGTGTCCTTCATTCTATTTTCTTTATACTTTATTTTCCAACTGTGT